GGCGAGTTTCTCTCACAAATCTCACAGCTTACCCGCACGCTATAGATCTGAACTGCTTCCGCATCAATGACACGAAAGCTCACTTGCTCTGCTCTTTCCTCAAACACTTTGAATAGGAAGGTGACGTAATTTTGGTCTAGAATCGAAGTACTACATGTCTGCCATCTAGTGGTAGGGAATACAAATGAGATATTACACCATATTAGGAACTACAGTCTATTTGATTAAGTATGACGTCTTTTGTCGCAATTTTGCGACTTTGGCGCTAAGAGGGTTAATCATGAAGCATACAGTGGCCCCACTTTTAACTCTCTCTTTATATTACCCTTATTGCAGATGGATGCACAGAGGAAGACAAGAGTAAGAAGTGCAGTGTGGGAGTACTACACTCAACCAACACCAGTGAAGGCAGTTTTTGTCAGAGCCCTTGTTAGTCTTAATTTTGACATCAATTTTAATATCAGACATATATATTGGTTGAAAATATCGGTTATCGGTCTACTTGATCTGTAATAATCGGTATCGGCCCTGAAAAACACATATCGGTCGACCCCTAAAATAAACGAACACTTCTGTAGACAATTACATTTCTGCTATTGGCATACACTGTCATACAAAAGAGTCTAAAAAGAATGTGCATGATCCATTTGTGACAGTTACATCACAATGTTTGCAATTCAAAATCCTACAAACTATGAAAGTTTTAAATGACAGTGACTGATAAAAGGGTATACATACCTTTGCAGAATCTCCTTGTTTCCTTCTGGCTTTGCCATCTGGTCCTTCTCCATTTGCTCTCCTTCCTCTTCTAGGCCCAGATTCTTTTGGGTCTTTCCCCAGTCTTCCAGAAAACTGCTAATGAAGCACAGAAAAATGGCATGAAATAAAAACAAAAAATAAAGACAGTATAGTACAGTATGCAGTACACAGTGTATCGATAACTCATTTATCATCTAGACTTACGTTACTAAGGCTTAGGTCATGCAAAAGCATATTCTGGTGGTTGCTGAGCGACATGTCCAGCATATCAGTGCTTTTTCCTCCTGCTGTTCCAGTTCCTGTTGCATACATCGGGAGGCGGTAATCCAACTCACTTAGCTTCTCCTGTTTGATACCCATACTGTGGATAAAGCCACCACCATGGTCAGGAGAGTCACGCTCCTTCTTCAGAATCATCTCTTGGGGCAGATCCGACATGGAGGTTTGCGAAGTCAGGCGCGTGAAACTGGTCACTGGAGGTAAATGGCTGAACATGATCATGCTGGGGGGAAAGTTGGGGTCCATGCCACCGTTCCGTAAAAACTCATTGCCTAGCTTGTCTTGGATAATACTCATGCTTGGGTCTTCAACAGGCCAAAGTTCATTGATGAAATATGCTATGAAGACATGAAAATATGTGATGAATTATGAATTAATCTAGTATATTGATGCCATATACTAATGAGTAATAGATAATTAGTAATTTATAGAAAAAAAAAAATAGGTTTAGTGAAAATAAGTGTATTAGTGTAATAATGTGCAATGCTTCATTTTCTTTTATTATTCCTGATCCATAAACATAACTGATTTCATTAATAAGGTCACTACACTATACAGGTGCATCTCAATAAATTAGAATGTCGTGGAAAAGTTCATTTATTTCAGTAATTCAACTCAAATTGTGAAACTCGTGTATTAAATAAATTCAATGCACACAGACTGAAGTAGTTTAAGTCTTTGGTTCTTTATATATTTGAAATTTCCCTCATTAGGCTCATTACAGAGACAACGTGTTTAGAAGTTATTCTAATTTGTTGAGATAGTGAATTGGTGGGTTTTTGTTAAATGTGAGCCAAAATCATCACAATTAAAAGAACCAAAGACTTAAACTACTTCAGTCTGTGTGCATTGAATTTATTTAATACACAAGTTTCACAATTTGAGTTGAATTACTGAAATAAATGAACTTTTCCACGACATTCTAATTTATTGGGATGCACCTGTAGCTGATGATTCAGGGAATTGTGCACATTGTGTATGATATGCCATCATGTGATGCAGCTTTCATGACAAAGCAAAATCAGAGAATTGTTCCACTACTGCTGAATTGGTTTTCCAAGTTGCAATGTGTATTCCACCAGAGGTTATCAGATATCTCTAAAATCAAGATCATAATTGCTGTGCTGTGCACTGGCAATTAAAGACCTCTCCAAAGTCAGAAATATTCTAGTGATTTATCTTATTACTGAAGCAGCTATGAAAGCTGACTAAACCACCAATTATATAGGCAACTTCAAAACTATCATTGTAGGCTATTATTTCAAAATCATAAAACAGAGCAAGCGTTCTTTTTGTCTTTAATGTCGTTACTAAATTGTCAGGAATATTTATAATATGCAAGGTTTAATTGGGGAAATATTAAATTTTTCTATAGGGCCTAATTAGTCTGTTTAAAATATAACAGGACATGATGGCGATTCTTGTGTTTAGATCATTTCAACCAAATTCGGGTCAACAACCCATAAATAATAATAATACATTGTTTTAGTCTTGATTACCCATTGGTATAAGCACAAGTTAAAAGAAATAAATACATACAACCCTAAGAACCGGATTGGTCCTTTTTGATGATCCCTTAGCTAACCTTAGCATCATTAGATTAGAGATTAAAATGACGACTTTGAAACAGTTTTTGCAAACACACAGTAAATTGCTTAAATAAATAATTTAAACACCCTTAATATGTAGTGTATTACCTTTTCAGAAAATAAAACACGGTCCAAGCTGAGTCTGCGGGTGCCCCAGCATTGTTCTCTATTGTGATCAGCTAACGTTAATGGATAGCTGCTTAATCTTATTTATATAACTCCGTCTTTTAATATATATGATTTTCTTTTTTAATTATATCAAGTTTAGGGACACGAATACATTAATTTCACATAGTTGCTATGATTATTAAATACTTTTACATAGCTGAACCGTGTAAAATGTAACCCGTTTAATCAAATCCGGCTAATCTAGTCGTTCATCACAATTACCAAACACATCTCGATCTAAATGACTCCATTAGCAGCTAATGGCTAACGTTAACTAAAGCGAAAGAGTAAGACACGAGAACTTCAATAAGATTTTAAACAAACTCGTGTATGTACATAGACACATTTACACACGAATACACTATATAAGAAAGATAAAACTAAAAGACACAACCAAAATTAAGCGTTTTGTTGAACTACGCGACGAACGGGGCTAGCCAGCAATAGCATGCAGATGAAAGAGCTACACCGCATGCGATGCGCTATAAAGCCCCCATAACAAACGAAGCCGGATACACGGAGAATCGCGCGCTTCCCGTGTAGTTTATTTGATAATAACTGCATTGCTGCAATTTTGTCGCCTTTCTCGTGCTTGCCCTGTACACGAGTGATATATCGTGACCAGTCATCACCATCACTAATTATAGCACACAGACAGTAAAACAATCCGCCGTGAATATAGCGATAAGTGCGATGTAAAGAGCACACTGAGACTGGTATATGTGTACGCCTGCCCTGCAAAGGTAGATTTAATTATTATTTTTTTGCTAAAAGCGCCTTAATCGCCTCAGTCTCAGGCAGCAGAAACAATGATGCTCGGCGCTGAAACGCATCTATCGCTTGAGCAGTTGTGATTTCATTTGGAGCTTTCAGCCGTGCGCAATCCCTCATCTTTAAAACCTCGGGCACAAATAAATAGTACAAACGCAATCCCACTTACTTGTACATGACCACGGCCGACTCGTAGCATTCAAATGAATCCCGGCGCTCGATTCTTTGAGTTACTTTACAGCCAAAACATTGTTCTCTTGCAGCTGTTGGCCTCTTCCATGTTTGTCGACGCTGGGAATTATGGGTTGAGCGGACGGGTCGTGAGAGGAGACAGACGGATACAGGCAAGTCAAGCAGGGGGCCACTATGCAAATGAAGATTGTGCCTATCTGAACATCTGCGACTTTGTCCGGCGTGTAAATTAGTTCTTTACAAAATTGCTGGGACGTTTTTTATTATTAGCCTGCTTATTTCTCTAATCAGTCTATATAGACACTTTTATATAACCTATCTATCTATCTATCTATCTATCTATCTTACATGAACTAATTTTACTGAACACTCTACAAGAAATAAATTAAAATATTTTTTTTTAGCGTATTTATCTTTTTACAGATTTTTTTAAATTTGTTAAATATTTTAATCACCAACTTTCATTCATGTGTATATAAACTGGATGTGACTAACTTTTCAGAAAAAAAAAAATATTTTTTTTGCATATTTTGTCATTTTTACATCAGCTCACAAAATAAGGTGTAGCCTAGTCTAAATATTCAAACTTTTCCAATTCACATTCATTCACATAAAGCCTTTGTATACTGTTTTGAAATAAAAACCATAGTAACACTATGTATTAACACTATGTAGTAATGTATTTAATTTCTTTCAAAAATACAAAAAATATATACCCTTATAGATTTTCATATTTTTTTTGTTTTGTCTATTTTATTGTAGCCTATTTTGTCATTATTTAAATTGGAAATCTGATTATTGTTAACTTTTATACATTCCTGTCATTGTCATTTGATAAACATCACTCAGTGAATTTTATTTATTTATTTTTTGGAGAGTCTTCATCTGTATATATTTCCTCAGCAGATGGCACTGTAATGCTAGTATTTTACAGCAGACACACATGCTCAAGAGAAACGACCCCTTTCTCCTCACACTACTACTGCTGCTCAATGATTTGAACACACACACACAAAAGCACATTTGCTCGCTCGCTCTCTCTCCCTCTCTCTCTCAGCGTATAGGCAGAGAAGAAGCGCGCGTCAGTTCAGATTCAGTGTCGCAGCTTATCTACACTACACATCTCCAAGCTGAGAGAAGTTGCGAGAAGGACACGCGAGCACTTGTTTTATTTTTACTAAATTACTTTTTTTTTTTTTTGCACATCCATACATTTTAATAATTTGTGGATAACATAAATAATCTTAACTGAAAGGCTGCAAGAGTGTGAAGTTGTCGATCTATGGAGCGCTACGCCGTACGTGTGGATACACACCAGCGCGAAACTTAAGTCATCCTTCTAGCGTATTTACCTGCCAATTGTGGCTCGCGCATCATGTCTACGATCAGGCGAAAATTCGGCGAAGACTATCAGGTGGTTAACACCAACCGGGCAATGTCCTTTTCTGCCCCGGCCAAAAGAAAGCGCCAGAGGTTCGTAGAGAAAAACGGGCGATGCAATGTCCAGCACGGTAACCTTGGCGGTGAGACCAGTAGGTACATCTCCGACCTCTTCACCACGCTCGTGGACCTCAAGTGGCGCTGGAACCTGCTTATTTTCCTTTTAACGTACACAGTCGCGTGGCTCATCATGGCATCTATGTGGTGGATCATCGCGTACATCCGCGGGGACCTCGGCCACGGCCACGACGAATCGTACACGCCGTGCGTCGCCAACGTTTACAACTTTCCGTCCGCTTTCCTGTTCTTCATCGAGACTGAGGCGACTATAGGCTACGGGTACCGATACATAACGGAGAAGTGCCCGGAGGGCATCATACTTTTCCTGTTCCAGTCGCTGCTGGGCTCGATCGTGGACGCCTTTCTTATCGGCTGTATGTTCATTAAGATGTCTCAGCCCAAGAAACGCGCAGAGACCCTCATGTTCAGCCAGGACGCGGTCATCTCACAACGGGACGGGAAGCTCTGCCTCATGTTTAGGGTCGGGAATCTCAGGAATAGCCACATGGTGTCGGCGCAGATCAGGTGCAAGCTCATCAAGGTAGCGCTTTCTGTAGAATATACTATTACTAAACTGTCAATAGAGCCCGTGTGGAAGGTGTGGTATGTGTGTGTGTTTGCGCACGTTTTACGAGCACAAAGGCGCATCTCGCAACAATGCTGTAGGGAAAATATCCTACATCAATTTATGTTGTTGATTCTGAACGTAGTTAACTGATCCTCTCGGTGAAGAACAATGTTGGATGTTTTGATGCTTCACGTGACATATGGGGAGGGGAGCTTGCATTGATTTTAAACAGAGCTCGCCATACTGTAAAATTGATCAATGCCTGTTTGCACCGATCTCAGCAGTCTCTGATTTGCATAGAGATCTTGTTTGCTCTCAGAACAAAGAGCAATGACGTGCATAAATGAATTGGGCACATCCCCCTGATTATATGGATTCCCATGGGAAGCCTTGCGGTAAGAGTATACTTGGACAAAAGGTACATTTCCTTCGGCTTAATGTAAACTGTCACAAAGCTATTGGAGCCTGAGTTTAAATATGAGCAGAGTGTTATACCTGCAGCTCAGTTCAGCTCAAAAATTCAAACAGTAGAAGAGAAACACTTTGTAAGGTCCAAGGTCACATTGCATGACAATTGAAAGGGCAAAGATGTTCCTATGCTGTTTAAAATTTCATGCCATCATAAGGAATTCAAGCAAATCCCATGTCCAAGAAAATACATGTATTATTTCATTAAAGTTATATCACCTACCCAGGTCATCTTTCAGCTGTAATTGGTTTAAATACAAAACATATAACCAAAAATAAAATAAACAAAACAATTATAAAATACAAGGCAGAAAATACAAAAACATAATCATCTGAACTGGGAAACAGCCAAATAAAACATTTTAATGAATATTTTAGGTTTGTTTTTCAGTAAAAATATTTAGGCATCATTAAAAAAAATTGCTCTAGAAAATGCATGGCATTACAATATTACATCTTGTTTCAAGAGTATCATGAATTATCTTTGATTGATTTATTTTACCTTATGGACAAATTAACAAAAAATTGTACGCAATCTGTTTTATTTATTTATTTATTTTTTACACAGATTTGCCATTACTGGAAAACAAAACAAAAATACTGATTTAATATTCTTTTTTTACACTGGACAATCGTCATAAGGCAGAAGTCACCAGTGCTTTCCCATTGAGAATGATATAAGAGTGAGAGAACATGGAGAAAGGGCAAAGAAAAAGAGCTCCAGGATTTGCGATAAGAAATATGCAGGACATGGGACTGATCAGAGCGGAAAGGAGTAGAAACACAGAAGGCGGCTGTTGGGGTGGGAGGCTGTGTTCTGAGAAAAGAAGAGCATAATTGACACATGGCTCTCACCACACCACAGTAGGCGCAATGCAGTGAGCACGGGATGACGGATGGCTGACATCATAAGCACCTTCCTCCCTTCTGTTTTGCCCTTTGCTCGTTACTGTCCTATTCAGAACTCTAGAAAAAAACAGCAGCCCATCTATTGCTCAGAGCGGCCTGCAGCGTAAGCACTCTGTCCTCTGCCTCTGAAATTTACAGTCTCTTTTGCTTTCCTTTACTGTTTACTATGGCTAATGCCTGAGAAGTGTTTATATTATAGTGTTTTTACTGGCCCAGGCTGTCTTATGAGTATCTGAAAAAGATAATGATCAACATTTTGAAAATTAAACTTCTCTAAAAATCATTGAAATTTGCAACTGAATGTTCTCCCCCAGGTCAAAAAAGTTCATTTGAGGTGCATGCTATGCACAAAAAAACAAAACAAAAAAAAACATCCCCTGCACTCATCTGTCTAAACTGGAAACTGCATGCTGTACTTCATAAGCTTTGATATGCTTCTTTGTACAGATATTTGAAGGAAAATCATGTGGGCTTTTGTATGCAAAGACGATGGCCTCCCTTGAGTTTTGTGGTTAGAATGGCAGGGAATTTTACTGAATGGCTATATCTCACTCAGGCTGAGGGATTTGACAGAAATGATTAAGATTAAATGTCACCTGAGACTTCATGCTGGGTACGAGCTGTGAGGAACAAAGATAATATTTGTCTCATATA